AATTCCAGAGAACCAACCGAATGAGGTTCAAAATTTAAGGGTTTCTAATTCCAGAGAACCAACCGAATGAGGTTCAAAATTTAAGGGTTTCTAATTCCAGAGAACCAACCGAATGAGGTTCAAAATTTAAGGGTTTCTAATTCCAGAGAACCAACCGAATGAGGTTCAAAATTTAAGGGTTTCTAATTCCAGAGAACCAACCGAATGAGGTTCAAAATTTAAGGGTTTCTAATTCCAGAGAACCAACCGAATGAGGTTCAAAATTTAAGGGTTTCTAATTCCAGAGAACCAACCGAATGAGGTTCAAAATTTAAGGGTTTCTAATTCCAGAGAACCAACCGAATGAGGTTCAAAATTTAAGGGTTTCTAATTCCAGAGAACCAACCGAATGAGGTTCAAAATTTAAGGGTTTCTAATTCCAGAGAACCAACCGAATGAGGTTCAAAATTTAAGGGTTTCTAATTCCAGAGAACCAACCGAATGAGGTTCAAAATTTAAGGGTTTCTAATTCCAGAGAACCAACCGAATGAGGTTCAAAATTTAAGGGTTTCTAATTCCAGAGAACCAACCGAATGAGGTTCAAAATTTAAGGGTTTCTAATTCCAGAGAACCAACCGAATGAGGTTCAAAATTTAAGGGTTTCTAATTCCAGAGAACCAACCGAATGAGGTTCAAAATTTAAGGGTTTCTAATTCCAGAGAACCAACCGAATGAGGTTCAAAATTTAAGGGTTTCTAATTCCAGAGAACCAACCGAATGAGGTTCAAAATTTAAGGGTTTCTAATTCCAGAGAACCAACCGAATGAGGTTCAAAATTTAAGGGTTTCTAATTCCAGAGAACCAACCGAATGAGGTTCAAAATTTAAGGGTTTCTAATTCCAGAGAACCAACCGAATGAGGTTCAAAATTTAAGGGTTTCTAATTCCAGAGAACCAACCGAATGAGGTTCAAAATTTAAGGGTTTCTAATTCCAGAGAACCAACCGAATGAGGTTCAAAATTTAAGGGTTTCTAATTCCAGAGAACCAACCGAATGAGGTTCAAAATTTAAGGGTTTCTAATTCCAGAGAACCAACCGAATGAGGTTCAAAATTTAAGGGTTTCTAATTCCAGAGAACCAACCGAATGAGGTTCAAAATTTAAGGGTTTCTAATTCCAGAGAACCAACCGAATGAGGTTCAAAATTTAAGGGTTTCTAATTCCAGAGAACCAACCGAATGAGGTTCAAAATTTAAGGGTTTCTAATTCCAGAGAACCAACCGAATGAGGTTCAAAATTTAAGGGTTTCTAATTCCAGAGAACCAACCGAATGAGGTTCAAAATTTAAGGGTTTCTAATTACCATCCATCGCCCCCAAACAACCCTAATTCAAAATTTGGAATTGTTATTATGTAGACTAATTTGGTATTTATATAGAAATCGTCCTATCATGTGGCTAATAATCTATTTTAATTTCGTAAACAATAGTCACTGTAAAGGCAGTGTAACGACCCAGACCCACCGCTAGTAGATATTGTCCTCTTTCAACTTTCCCTTTCGGGCTTTCCCTCAAGGCTTTAAAATGCGTCTGCGAGGGGAAGGTTTCCACACACTCTCCCCAACCAACATGGGACATCACAGGCAATAACTTGAAATATAAGAGCGAGATAGAAATTTTTGGACAAGACATCCATGATTGTTCTCTTTGGGCTTTTCCTCGAGGCTTTAAAACACGTCCGCTAGGGAAATGTTTTCACACCCTTTTAAGGAATGTTTCATTCCATTCTCCAATCGATGTCGGATTTCAGAATCCACCCCTCTTTGGGGTCCAACATCCTTGCTGGTACACCGTCCAGTGTCCGCCTTTGATACCATTTGTAACAGCCAAAACCCACCGCTAGTAGATATTGTCCTTTTTGGGCTTTCCTTTCAGGCTTCCTCTCAAAGTTTCAAAACGCATATGCTTGGGAGATGGTTTCACACCCTTCTAAGGGATGTTTCGTTCCCTTCCTCAATCGATGTGGGATTTTTTAATCCACCCCTCTTGGGGGTCCAGCATCCCTATTGGCACACCGTCTAGTGTCTGCCTTAATACCATTTATAACAGCCCAAACCCACAACCAGTAGATATTGTTCTTTTTGGGCTTTCCTTTCAGGCTTCCCTCTTGAGGTTTCAAAACGTGTATGCTAGGGAGATGTTTCTACACTCTTAAAAAAAAAATTCGTTCCCCTCTCCAACCGAGGTGGGATGTCACAAACTCGAAACCCTAATAAATAAAAACTCGTACCCAAAACACAACATCGTGGCTCATAAACGGGAAGTTGTTGGGCTATTGAGGGAAAATGGTAGCATAGTTTGTGCAAATAAAGATGTGTTTCACCTAAACCCTTTGAAGCTATGTTTCATCATTTTATGCTTCATTCATTTCACCCCACATGCTTTGCTTCTCCAAATCTACGTACCCTTCCTCTCACCAATCTATTATTCTCGAAAATATTTCAATGGCTACGATTTATCGTTCATAAGTTCGAAGGCATAGATTTACGACAAACCCGTGTAATTTTAGGGTTAGTTTATGCATTATTTTATAAATTGCATGCTTTTCAAAGTTTCTTTTGAAGGGGTATCCCGAGCATGAAACGGCTTTGACCTGTACATGTATGGAAGGTCAAGTCGTTACAGTAATGACATGAATAACGTTCTAAAAGCATAGATACCAAATCAAGGAATCGAACAAGAAAATTTAGGTCAAAATGAACATTTCATGTCAACGACACTAAAAGAACAAAAAAAATCCCTACGTGAAAGGTGCTCAGCAGTGTTCGTATAAAGTTATATATTTGTTCGGTGACGTTTTTGTTTATGATTTTATTTTACACGTTTGGTTTATTAATTCTTATTTCCTTTTTTTTAAATAAAAAATAAAATTATATTTATTTTCATCTCATAAAAATTTTAAGAAACGAGAAATTATGAAAACATTATCAAATAAATGTCCGCGCTCTCAATTATTATACTTTGAATGCTTTAAATCAGGAGAATTGAAGTTTTTACACCTGAAATTGCCATGGAAGATCTTCGGCTTGTACTCTCAGATCAAGCATTTATTCCTCTCTTCTGTTTCTTACTACACTTTCTCCCGCCAAATTTCACTTTCCCCATCGCCCAACTTGAAAACTCTGTTCCAATGGCCAATTCAAGGAAGCATTGCTGCAAATGGCCAAAGGGCTATTAGAGAAGGCCAAAGAGTTCATGCCCACATGATTTGAATTTGTAAGTTGTACGATAACTGCGATTGTTTAAGTGATGCACGGAAAGTGTTTGATGAAATGCCCCAGAGGAATTGGGTTTCTGGGACGGGGATGATTCCGGCTTATTCGTTGTTTTGCCTTCGAAGCCTTGAATCTGTTTGTGGAAATGTTAAGATCAGGTAACTTTTTTCTTCTTCTTCTATTTGTGTCAATGGGTTTGTGAGATGGATATCTGAGATGGCAGAGAAGATTGTTGTTGCTGAAAAACAATGTGTTAGAAGTGTTGTTTGGATGAATATTAGAAGTATTGTTAAGATCATGACATATTAGCTTTTGTATTAGAAAGAGAGAGCGAGTGACAATTGTCTCACGAGATTAGTCGAGATCCATACGAGCTTGTCTAGATATGTAAAAAGAAAATAAAAATTCTAGATAACAATAAATTTCACTCGTCGCATGGATTGTTCATAGATATTAGTCCTTCATTAGAAAATAAAATGAAAATCATTAGACCACCGTGGGTTGACTTAGTGGTCAATAAGGGTCGATGTAAATAACAAAGGGCGTAGATGGAATGACTTCAAGCTATAGTGACCACCTATCTAGGATATAGTATCATATCCTACGAGTTTTCTTGGCAATCAAATGCAGTAGGGTCAGACGATTGTCCCTCCACGATAACTAGTCTAGTGATGATAGTTTGATTACTTGTGAGTACAAAATCCTTGCCAAGGTTCTAGTAGATAAATTATGAAAAGTCCTTTCGAGGATGATCTCTACGTCTCGAGGTGTGTTTATCGTCGATAGATAGATACTCGATCACACTCTTATAGCTGACAGCATCACATATTTGTCTGTCTTATCTGGTTGCAGCCATGGGCAGTTGGATTGGGGACTTTAATATTTTATAACATGCCAAAGGAAAGGATGGAATTGAACAGATATTGAACGTTATGGTTGTGTTGTTGATTAAATTGGGCATAATAGTGGGTCTGAAGCTTCTAGAGATAGAGCCTGAAAATGCAGGGTAACTATACGATTCTTTCAAATTGATATGCGTCTGCAGAAAAATGGGTAGAGCTTGATCAAATTGCCCATACTTTCCATGCAAGTGATCACACTCATCCAAGAAGGGTGGAGGTGGCAAAGAAGGTAAAGGAATTATCCATTAAATTCAAGGAAGACGGTTATGTTCCTTGTTTGAGCTGTGTTTTGTATGATGTGCACGAGGAACGGAGAGAGAAGGTGCTTCTAGGCCATAGTGAAAAGCTAGCTTTGGCGTTTGGGTTGATTGCTACTCCTGAAGGAGCAACAATTCATCTCATAAAAAGCCTCCGAGTTTGCGTCGACGGTAATAAACCCACGGCTAGTAGATATTGTCCTTGATGAGTTTGCACTTTTGGGCTTCCCCTCAAGGTTTTAAAACGCGTCTGCTAGGGAGAGGTTTTCACACCCTTATAAAAAATTCTTCGTTCTCCTCCCCAACTGATGTAGGATCTCACAATCCATACCCCTTCGGGCCCCAGCGTTCTCGCTGACACTCGTTCTCTTCTCCGATCGATGTGGGTTCCTCCAATCCACCCCCTTACGGGGCCTAGCGTCTTTCCTGGTACATAGCCTCGTGTCCACCCTCCTTCAGGGCTCAGTCTCCTCACTGATACATCACCCGATGTCTGGCTCTGATACCATTTGTCTAGCCCAAGCCCACCACTAGTAGATATTGTCCTCTCTAAGCTTTTCCTTTCGGACTTTTTCTCAAGATTTTAAAACACTTTTGTTAAGGAGAGGTTTCCACGCCCTTATAAAGAATTGTCCGTTCTTCTCTCCAACCGACGTGGGATCTCACACTTTAAAGTTAGTAATCCTATGGGACAAAAACCGGTTTCATAATATAGTTGGGGGAGTATGCTCTTGTGGAGATTACTGGTAAGCTTGAGTTCTCTTATCCTCTGCTACCATTAGTCTAAAAGTTTTTGATACATGAACTGAAGTAGCATGTGATTCAAAGAAGGTTAAGAACAGTTCTCTGAAATATTGATATGAAAACTGAAAATCTTTGACCTGCCAGATTCTTCTGATCCTATTGAGTTTGGCATCAGAGCAGCTGCTGCAATATTAAGAACATCAGCATTTCTTGTCGGCTTGGAGTCGAAACCAGTCAGGGTATCTGCTGCTGCCTGCTGGTGGTGGTGAAATAATCATCCAGTAGCTTGAGGAAATGGACGATACTGCTGATGGGAACTTCAGACCTTTTAGGTACATTACATAAATCTAGATCAAAAAGTTAGTTAATTTAGTTCAATTTTGTCCCTATAGTTTGGTTGAATGTCTGTGAGCGTTTTTTAAATGTTTAGTTTCAATGTCCTCGATGACTAATGTTCTTAATGTTGTGAATGAGTTAATTTTGAGACTCTAATTATGATATTTAGACTAAAACTTTGTTGTCGGATTTTTTCTGATTGTTTAAGACGGTTGTAATATTAATATTTGAATTTTTGAAAATTGTTTTAGTGTTTATAAAATATATTCATTTATTAATAAAGATTATATTGAAAAATGAAATTTTTTTAAATAACTATTTTGAACCACAAAGAGAAATTTTTGGGGCGGGGTTAAATCGAAACGAACGGTTTAGATCAAATATAGAGTTTGTTGACGCTACGCCCGCATGTAGAAGATCATTGCGCGGGAAAGAAGCGAACCCCAATGCCGTCATGGCGGGAAAAAGAAAGGGATAAAATCCAGCAAATGAGAGTCTTTTTGGTGACTGAGAATCACGAAATCGATCGAACAAGCAACTATCGTCTTCTTCATCGAATCGTATATCTCCTAGGCTCTGCGATTCTTGTCTTCTCTTGAGCTTCTACTCCGTTTGCTATGGCGAAGAAGAAGAAATCTAGGGTTCCGATGGAAGAAGAGGAGGAAGAGCAAGTCGAGACTCCGAGTCAATCTTCCACCAATCAGAACAGCCTCTACGAGGTACGTTGTGAGTTAATAGGTGTTCTGGAATTTTTCTACTGTCGACTGACCGTTTTGTCTCGAGATTCTTTTTGCCCTAATTATGGAATGGGCTTTCGTTCTTCCTTTGTTATTTACGGTTTGAGTTTTCGTACAGTCGTTGACGTTATCGTCTTGCGATTTATAGCTCTTATTTGTGCTGTTGCTGTTTAATCTCTAATTTTAAAAGGAGAAGATGGTTGTTCGTGCTCAAATTTCTAACCTTTCTTTGAAGGCGGTGGGAATTGGTTAGTTTTGAGACAAGAACCGAGTCAATCTTGTCACTTAATGGCGTTCAAATGAAAAAGAAAAGGGAAGTTAGAGGTTCGCTAGAGAAAGACGTGGAGGGAAAAAAACCTTTAATCACCCATTCATTGTCTAAGAAATAGGACTAATGTTGGAGGCTTTGATGAACATGCGAGTGAGAGACCCTGGTTCTGTGAGAGTGAAGAGTTCAATTGCCCAGATCACACTGGAGAGAATCCTACTTTTCGTTCACCCATAACGTGCTGATATCTATCTATCTCTCTCTCTCTCTCTCTCTATATATATAGATATATGGATTGATGAGTTGCAATCATTTTATTTTTCTGAATGCTGCATCACTACAATGTAGTTGCCAGTTCTGTCCTTCACTTCCTAATTTTGGCTTATGATAATGCATGAAGGTTCTTGGAGTGGAGAGGACAGCTTCTCAGCAGGAAATAAAGAAGGCATACTATAAGTTGGCACTTCGCCTGCATCCTGATAAAAACCCTGGAGATGAGGTGAATGCTGATTCATCTGTGAATTCTAGTTCAGTTTAACTTAATTGAATCTAATTTTCATTAAGCATATTTCATTTTCTCTATTAGAAGTTATCAATAGTTGTTTATCTATTACTTTTCTTCATTAGGAAGCCAAAGAGAAATTTCAGCAGTTGCAGAAAGTTATGTCGATTCTTGGGGATGAGGAGAAGCGTGCAGTTTATGATCAAACTGGCTGTATTGATGATGCCGTAAGTACAAACTGAACTTATAACACATTTGTAGTTTAGTGATAGAGGCTAAGGATTTGAATGGTACATCGATGCATAAGTTTGCCATGTGCATGCATCATTTTGGTCCATTTACAAGGCGCTTCAAAGCACACAATTAAGCATTCGTCTAATATATTTGTGCTCCATTACTGTCAGTGTAAAAGAATTGCATCATCCTTGACTACATTGTGAAAAGAAGTGAATAGCTTTATTTGAAAGTGAAGATCTAATACGTCTTTGTGGGTTTCTTTCACATCACAGGATCTTGCAGGCGAAGTTGTTCAGAATCTTCATGAGTTTTTCAGAACCATGTACAAAAAGGTTTCACCATACAGAAATGTCAATGCTTTCATAATCTCATTGAAACTAGTTTGTCTATAATGATATATGGTTAATTGTAGGTCACTGAAGCTGACATAGAAGAATTTGAAGCAAATTACAGAGGGTCTGAGTCAGAGAAGAAAGATTTGATTGATTTGTTCAAGAAATTCAAGGGTAATATGAACAGGTAATGAGAGTGTCCCAACTGTCCTATTCTTGTGTACAAATACCAAGTTGCTTTTTAAAGCTTCTTTTTCCCAGGCTGTTCTGCTCAATGCTTTGTTCAGATCCCAAGCTTGATTCACACCGGTTCAAGGATATTTTAGACGAAGAAATTACTGCTGGTGAGCTTTCTTCTTGGTTTTGTATTGGTAGCTAGCATGGCAAGGAATTACCTATCTCTGGTTTTTGTCCTGATGATACTCGTATGATTGCAATTGTCTTCTAACTGAGTATTAAGTTTTATGTTGAAGTGAATGTTTGGTTACATAGTTGATTATGTTACATAAACTTCTCGTATACTTGTTGTGCTCTAAGATCGCTACTTCTGATACATTTCATGGCAGCTACCTTTGATGTGATGATGCTAATCTTTATCTTTTCTTAATCTTTGTTAGGAGAACTAAAAGCAACGAAATCCTACCAGAAATGGGCAAGGAAAATATCTGAAACAAAGCCACCAACCAGTCCTTTGAGGAAGAGGGTGAAGTGAGTTTTCACTGCATGTTTATTGCTTAGATGATGTTGCTTAAAGTTTTATATCAGCCAACTCTCGGTTTGCATCAAAGCTTACCTTGTGCTTGGATTTGTGTACAGATCTCACAGAGAATCAGAAACAGATCTCTATGCAGTAATATCTCAGAGACGGAGTGAGAGGAAAGAACGATTTGATTCCATGTTCTCATCTTTGGTATCTAAATATGGTGGGGGAGGGGGAGGTGATGCCTCAGAACCAACTGAGGAAGAATTTGAGGCTGCCCAGAAGAAGTTAGAGAGACGAAAATCCTCCAAAAAATCCAAGAGGAAGTAATAATTCCATCTTTGATTTAAGTCCCCGCTCGATAGATTGTTTGATTCTGTCCTACTGAATGACTGCAGAAATGTGATGGCTATGGTTTTCCAGGATGAAGTTATTTATTTTGTTCTTAATGAATGTTCAATGTTTCAGCCTATCCAAGATTAATGTTTGGTTGGATTCAATATTATCATTATTTTCAAAATTAGGGGGGGGGGGG